TTTATCATTTACCTTTAATAAAGGCAAAAATGAATATAAGAATTCTTGAGTGAAAATCGGAGAAATATCAACTTACATAAAATCTCACAATGGCGAGAAAATAGCTTATTTTTTTGGCGCTGCCTTTCGAGACCAAACAAGATTGAATATATATATATATATAATGCTTGATAAAATAACATTTAAGAGGTGGACCCATTATTTTATGAGGAACACTCCCAGCTTACCTGCTTTAATGCACCCGACTGATAGTCTCGCCAAAAGGCCTCCAGTTGCGCAAGCTGATTAAAACGCATGTTACAGACAAACTCGCCGGGCATTCTATTGCGCAGGTAATTTGAGGCCTGAGCGAACAAATCCAACTGCTGCTCATAGAGATCCTGGCGATCGGTTTGCAGAAACGACTAGGAAGAGGGTTCGAAATAAGTATATTTATTAGTATGGGTAGAATAATGTGGAAATTGTGTTTTGCCTTTATCTAGATTGAAATACTTTGGATGATCCAAATGTTGGCTCAGAGACCAGGAAAAAATGTACACTTATGAATATCTATTGTAAGATAAGAAGCAGTATTTTTAAAAACCAGTGTATAGGAAGAAACAAGTTAACTAGATAGTGAAAACTTCAATGCAGAAATGAGTAAAATAATGGAAAAACACAATACATTACTATGCACTTATTTGCTACCTCCACTAATTTTCAGAAACTTGCAAATTATTCAGAATAACAATTCAACACAAAAAGGATTGGGGGAAATTAATATAGAATTCTTAAAAAGCTATTCCACAAATCGAAAAAATTTGCTCTTTTTCAAATTTTAAGCAGTTTAAATACCACATCCTACGTCATAGGAGAGGAGAATCTCGATGTGTCACTGATCATAGGCAATTCATTGCAGTATATCTACTAGTCGATGTTTGAAAGATGTTTCGCAATACCTCTCTCGGTTTAAGAGCTTAGGGGCAAATGCGCCTAGAGATTATTTGCAAGCTAGTCATGAAAAAATTGCATTGAGATTTATAGAAGTGAGTTGACCTTGTTGTCGCACCAACAAAATTATGTCCCTCCTATGTTCGGTTTACGTACGACACTTTGACGGGATTACTAACTAGTAAACTTGAACAAGCTGAGAAAGGCTTGCCAAAGACTAATAATTTACTTGGATATTTCCTCCTAAAAACGATCATTTTAAGTTCGAATAAAAAAGGCAATTAATATTTTTATTTAGATCCACTCAGTATAAGGAAACAAATTAGGTCATATCCATTG